CAGTCCCCAGCCTCTCAGCTGAGGCTGTCGACAAGGATTGGGGGAGAGGGAACGTAGCTACCTCCCAAACTGGACCAGGGCTGAGCCTCACCATCTCACTTCACACAGCCTCAGCAGTAACATTCAGGTACCATGGAACTGGACCCTGTTTAAAGCAGTTTCTGAATTCCCTGCCCCATCCAAGCCAGATTCCCGGGGCAGCAGCCTTACCCACACCCCTGCGGGGATACTTGAGGGGCTTGAGCCAGCTCTAAGCATCTCCCACCACCAGCCTTTCAGAAGTGGTAACTAGCTCCTCCCCAGACTCGGTGAGGAAAGGCTCAGGGCCAGATCTCCATGCAGTGCCGCTGACGGCTAAGGACACTTGGTGCAACATCCCCTTCCTGTTGTGCCCCTCAGGGTTACAGCTGCACAGGGGCAGGTTTCTCTGAGGGGAAGGGTTGATTTAGGATCTCACTCCTGTCCCACACCAGCCGTGTGCAACATACAGAGGCAATGTGAGAAATCAGAGTAGGGTAGAGTGATTTGGGCAGAAACAGCATGACCCCGCAGGGGACTGACTCTCAAACAGATGGGCTGTTGGCACCTAAGACCAATCACTGGGATAGTGTTTCTCATTCTGCAGCATCAAGCAGATTTGCCTCCACGTCCCCGAGCTCTGAGCAGGAAGGAAACCTCTTGTGCCTTGGCTCTGCGTCTAAGACTAGGCCTTGGTGTCAGCCACGCCCTCTGGTCCCAGCGAGGTCCTCCTGTACCGCGCTCGCTCGTACTCCCCCACGTTGGACGCCTTCATCTTCTGGCGAGCCTTTAGCTGCTTCAGGCGGTTCTTGTCCACTTCGCGCTTGGTCAGGAGGAAGAGGATGATGCCGGAGGGGAAGCCGATGGCCCTGTGGGAAACCAGAGCTATGGTTAAACTGCAGGACATTCAGCATCCATCTGGCAGGGCGGGGCGAGTCACAGCGAGAGGCTTGTACTGCCTCAGGCTTCTCCCAGTTCTCCCAATCCCAACCCGCAGTCCCCCTTGTCATTCGAGTCCTGGGCTCCTGTCACACAGCTCTGCCAATGCCTCTGAGAGTCCCCTTGCCACCACCAGGCTGGGGCAGATCCCCTTTGAGATGTACCCACGCTAACAGAGGGGACGCCAGACACTCCCATGGGACACCAGGGCCTGAACAAGCTGCCTCCATAGAGGGGCGCAGGCAGACAGCGCACGCTGGACGAGGAATTCAATCCCAACCGAACGGGTCTGAGGCTATTTCGAGGCAGGGGACACCGATGCTGATGACACTCCCGACCCCAGAGCGGGACAGGGATGATCAGCAACTCACCAGGCCACACCAACCATCTTCATGGGGTTCTTGGCTTTGCGGGTAGGGATATACTCGGGGATTTCATGGACTCGCTGGCCCGGTTTTGGCTTGGCTCGTAACTCCAATGGGGCTCGGCCGCTGCCATGGAGGAGTCGGACGATGGGTCTGCGGGTCCCGGCTAAGCAAACTGCCCGGCTCACAGCAGCAGAGAAAGATCCTGCCCAAGACAAAGCCAGGTTACCCGGGCTGGCGGGGCGAGGCAGGGTTCCCGGGCGGGCTGGGGATCCCTGGGGCAGTCAGATCGGACGCCTGGTCTCGCATCTGCACGCGTGACATCCCCGGGACACGGAATAGGGTCCTGGGGGCCCAGCAGTGACTGCAGCGGGGGCATGGCCAGCCCGGCGGGCGGGTAACGGGCTGGGGCTCGGGTCCCTGCCGGCCTCAGCGGCTCGGGCGGTGACCGGGCACAGCTGGGCAGGGGGGAGGGGCCGGGCCCCGGCGTGTGTGTGGGGGGAGGGGCTGGGCTGGGCACC